AAAAAAAAAAAAGAATTAAAATTTTATGAAATACTACATTATATACCTATAATCTTTCTTTAAAAAAATTTATTTATTTTAGAGTGTGGGGAAGAGAGAGAGAAAGCAGGGAGAGGGACAGAGGGAGAGAATCTCCAAGCAGACTCACCACTGAGTGTGGAGCCGTATGTGGAGCTCGATCCCATGACCCATGAGATCACGACCTGAGCCAAAACCAAGAGTCAGGCACTCAAATGACTGAGCCACCTAGGCACCCCTATCTTTTAATAATTTTAAAATAATTCTAAGCAGAATTTAAGTTTTTTTTTTTTCTTCACTTAATGGCTATATATGTAATATATTCTCTTGTCCTGTTCTGTTTGATCATAGTAGAGAGACATGGGACCAAGAAAGACTGCATGGGTTGCATGGGGAATATATTTTACAATAAGGGCACCATTTATACCTACAAATTTTGTGATGTAGTGGCTTATAACAAAATTTAAAGCAATAATGATTTTTTAAAAAAGATTTTATTAATTTCTTTGACAGAGAGAGAGATAGCGAGAGCAGGAACACAAGCAGGGGGAGTGGGAGAGGGAGAAGCAGGCCTCCTGCTGAGCAGGGAGCCCGACTGGGGGCTCGATCCCAGGACCCTGGGGTCATGACCGGAGCCGAAGGCAGACCCTCAACAACTGAGCCACCCAGGTGCCACACAAAATTATTTAAAAAAATATTCTTCATATTTGGAATTTAAAATTTGTAGTTTCTTTATTCTGATAGTTGCTTAGGAACTCAAACATAAAACAGAATATAGCATAGCAATTCAAGTAGAAAAACATAATGAGATATTGTCATATCATTTTACTTCAATACAGAGTAAATTGATGACAGGGAGTTTGGGGATGTTGACAGTCTATTGATTTGATCTGGGTATAAGTGTGTTCATTTTAATGTTTTATCAGGTTGTATATATATGGTTTATGTGCTTTCTTTTGTGTATGTTTTATTTGAATCAAATTGAAGAAATTGCCATTAAAGTATGAAGAAACTTAACCTTCTTTTCTCTTTCAAGGAAATGATTATTGACAGAGTAAATGGACAGGCCGTTCCTAGATATTTGATATATGACATAATTAAATTCAATGTAAGTACCTTTAATATAATTTATAAAATAAAAATTGTCCCTGAGATAACAGATAATGTTTTTACAAATAAAAAGTGTTACTGCCTTAGAGAAGTAGGAAAGAAAAATTGTGACTCTAGTTACTCATTTGATACTTTAATAATAATTTTGCACATTCCTTTGTCTTTAGATTTTGTTAGATACTTGAAGTGAGTAAAGAAAGATAGTTTAACTGATAAAATAAGAATTTTTTTTAAGATGGAAACTCTTGGTTTTAGTTATCCTGTACACGATTAAAAAAAGGAGTCCACAGATTTTATTACTATCACTTAAAAAAAAAAAAGAGAGAGAAACTGATTATGGGTATTGAATGTATAACTTGGGGACACAAATATGTTATTCATGAGTACAGGCAGGAAACTTAAAAACAAAATATAAAATTCTGTTATAAATATAAAAAAATAGGAATTATATTTTCTATCCCTTTCCTATAGTTTTAGACAAGCCAAGAATCTGCCTGTTTATGTTTAATTATAGTATCAGTCTATTTAGGCGGTACAAGATGACTTCTGTAAATGTGAGAAACTCTTTCAGTAGTGTACATCTATGAAAATGTATAATCATTCCTCTAGACATGTATTATTCAAATTGCATAGTCATTTAGTATTCAAACTAGACTGAAAGCAATTAAGAATTCTGGAATTAAAAGTGTTTAAGTTTTAGGATTTTGAAGATTTATAACAAAAATTTTTTAAAGTTCCTTTTTGGGTATATATTTTAAATTACAGTATTGAGATTCAGGATTGCATTATTCCACTTTAAAGGCATTTTTTTCCTGAAAAATTTCAATGTACGTATTTCATTTTCTGTTGAATTTATAGATTTCAAACAGTTTCCTATTTAAGAGACTCAAGGTCAGAAACCATCAAATTTTAATTTCATCAGTTTGTGATTACTAAATGCCTCAGAAGTAATGCTTTCCAGAATTGGCTTACTCTTATCATAGATTTTGGAATAATGTTCATTGGCCCATAATGAGACATAAAGGGTTGGGGTGGCATTGTTTTGTTGTGAATGTGGGAGTTTTGTCTCCTGTGCCTTTTGACGCTGAGCTCTGCTTTAATATGTGTTCTGTGCAGGTTCACTTCTTAGCCTGGGAACTTTGTCTTTGACAACAGCCTTCTAATTTAAAAAAATATGAAACATTTCAGCGTATACAAAAGTATAGAGAATAATATGAGGAATACACATGTACTAACCACCAGATTTGTTAAAGCTTAACATTTTGTCATTTTTACTCCACTTTCTTTTTAATAAGAAATAAATCATTACAGATCCAGTAGAAGTTTCTCATGCACACCTCACTTATTCTATTTTTGACCCTCTTACCCAGAAGCAACTTCTACCCTGTATTTGATGTTTATTATTTCCATGAATGTTTTTAATAACCTTACTACCTATGTGTGTGTCCATAAAATATATGTGGTATTGTTGTGCAAGTTCATAGTGTTATATAAATACCGTACTGTACTGTGGTACCGAGCATTTACTCCACATTATTTTGTTGAGATTTTCTGTATTAATACAGATAGGTTTAGTTCATTCCCTTTAATTACTATTGAGTATTGCTTTGTATAAATATACAGAATTTGTCTTTTTTTCCTTTTGGTGAACATTTGAGTTTCCATATTTTGCTGTTATACTACTATTAAACAGTTTATATATTCTTGTGTGCATACATCAGAATTTCTCTAGGACAATTCTCATTCTTGGAATGTAAGCACCTGAGGTGTTTTTAAAAGTACAGTTCCTCACCCCTACCTACATCATAGAGATTCTGACTGAATTGGCAACTTCAGGTGTATTTGCTACATTGCTGAATTCCTCTCAGAAGTAGGTGTAACAACTTACCACAGTTGGTATTATCAGAATTTAAAATTTTTGCTAATTGGATATGTGTGAAATGGCATCTGATCTTGTTTTAATTTGCTTTTCCATTGTTGCTAATGAAGTTAAGCCTGATTCATACGTTCATTTTTACTTGTTTGGATTTTTCTTTTGAGATTTAATTGTAAGTTCGAATAATTTTCTAATTTTTCTATTTGGTTGTCAATCTTCTTAATGTGTAGGAATTATCTTTTCTTCATTCTAATCCTTTTTTGGTTATGTATGTGACAAACAGTATCTTTTGGAAATTAGTATCTATTGATGCACGGGGGAGTTTTTCATTTTCATGAAATCAGACTTACTAGACCTTCTCAAAGTTTGTGCTTTTGTGTCTTGTTTAGGAAATTCATCCATATTTTGCTGTAAAAATTATTAAGTTATGCTTTTACTAGGTCTATAATTACTTACTCAGTAAGTATTTGTTGAGTGCCTATTGCCATATTTCATTGATTTTAAAGTCACATTTCCCTCACATTTCTTTTTTTTTTTTTCACATTTCTGATATTAGGATATATTTATAATCAAAAGCATCATATATTTAATTCTTTAATTTACTGAGCCTTTATGATTAACCAGCTTATTTTGAATCACCAAATCAAGGTCACTATTAGAAAAAAATGATGTTTTGAAAAAATAGTTAAAATCTTTTTAGTTCCCTTAGTTTATTTTGTCCAGCAAGAATTTCATTGATCATCTTTTATATGTCAACTGTTGTTCTAGATATTGGATATACACAGATGAATAAGACATAATTTCTTGCCTTCAGGGAATTCGTAATTCAGTACATTGGCCTCCAAAGAAGGCCATTTCAGCAGTGGGATTTGGGAAGAAAGTAGAACTTTTGTTTATTTTTTGTCTGTTTATTCAATTTTGGTCTGTTTTATAACATACACAGTTGTACTTGTAGGCAGCTCATTAAAAATTAACGTGCATAAATTGTAAGCATTTGTTAGGATATGTACTTAGATTGGGTACAAAATCAAAAGAAATTTGTGGACCATCGATCTTATGGATGAGAAATAAATGTAAAGAAATAATTATAATAGTATAACAACAGTAAAGGTATATTAGAGATACAGGAATATATGAAAGGTACTAGAGAGGTGAGAATATTTCAGTTTAACCAGGGTAAAGTTGACTCATAGAAGTGTGGACTTGCAGATAGAGAAAGTTACATGGATTAATTTTGAAGGATAGAATCATGGAGGTCATGAGCATTAGAGGTTATTAGTGTACTTGATGTGTGGTGGGATGTGGGACACAGCAAGAAATGTGAATAGATTGTTGAGTAGGGGGCCAGGTGACTTGAATAAGGCATTTTAGCTTAGTTCTGGATGTGATAGGGTACTTTTGAAGGATTTTAGTTAGGGTAATGATAGGATCACACTTTCATTGTTTTGAAAGATAACTCCAATGGCAACATGGGTAGTATTTTGAAGTGAGAAAGAATTCAAAACTAGGAAGCAAGTTAGTTAGTAGTTACTGAGTTCTTTCTGTTGTCTGTTTTCAGTGATTTAACATCTACCTAACAAATGCTTCCTTTCCTATAGGCAGCATAGATTTGAAGGTGAACTTGCTTTCAATTTTTTCTTGTTGTTTTGATTTGTGTGTGTGTGTGTATACACATACACTGTATATATATATTTTTAAGTGAAAAGTATTTAGGAGAGAATTTAGACTACTTAAGTATTTTTAGACAATTGTTAGACTATTTTTTAAAAAAAGCAGACGACTTGCTTGTTCCACATTAACTTTATAGGGGTCTGAATTCATCTAATCGGTCAAATAAATAAGCCTAATATTTTAGGTTTTTTAACCTTATTGATGATGTAGGTGACGTGGAAAAGATTACACATGGACTTTGTGATTATTTACTGATGTTTCCTCAATACATACCTTTTGCAAACAGTTGTATGCCTTTGTGTAAAGGGAACATAAACTACCTCGTACCTAGGGCTTACTCGCTTTGTTTTGCTCCTTATTCTTTGCTGAATGTAAAAATTGTCATCCTTCCAAAAGAAAAGATCCTCCTTAAGGCATATTTAATGTCCACAGCTTAAGCAAATACTGTCACCTACCTATTTGGAAACATTGGGTTGTGTAAATGTTAGTTGAGTAGTATAGATTAGAGGAAGAAGAGGAAAAGGTGAGAAAAATTTATGGAAGGGTGTCCAATTGCAAAGTAAAGAAGAGGGGTACTTGATATGAGGTGATGCTACTAATCTGGACGATTACTGTCACCCAGATGAGATGTTAGAGGCTGTATTATTATATGCCATTAAGATAGGGTAAGCCTCTACCTTCAATTTACAGAAAAAGTCTATGCACTTTTTACTTTATGGTTTGAATCATTTGTACCACATATATGTACCATATTGTATATATACTATATATGGAGAACTTTATTTATAACTATAATTGAGTATATTATGGAGACTTTGTTCTATATTAGTTTTTAGAGTCGAGCATGTATTTGTCTAATAATTATCTTTTACTTATTGATGTCTGTAAAGCATTAGTGCTTTAAGCAACAAAGTGATTGTGTTGCTTATTCTGATGTGTTATTTGCTTATACTTTCCTGAATTATGTGGATTGTAGTTTTATACAGATTTTACTAATTCATATAATTTTACTAATTCAAATAATAAAATGATTAGTGAGTATATTAGTACTTTAATTCAGAAGTGAAAACTTCAGACCAACTTATATTAGAGAAGATTTATGCCACTCTCCCATACTATTTTATGCACTTACAATTTTAAAATAAACAACCGTGTATGTGTTTAGGTGTGTTTAGTGAAATCAGGACTGGCATGTGTGGTTGTGCAGGCTGTGCATTGGACAACTCCAAAGGATGCTCTTTACATAGACTGCTATGTATACTGTGACGGCCTTAATAATTATGCTGATAAGATAGTTTTCAGTGTTGAAATTTAAATAATTGTCTCATTTAATTCAGGCACAGCCAGTTGGAGATTGTGATTTTAATATTCGTCTGCAGTGTATAGAAAGAGAAATAATAAGTCCTCGACATGAAAAAATGAAGACTGGGCTCATTGACAAAACACAGGAACCATTTAGTGTCAGAAATAAGCCATTTTTTGACATCTATACTTCAAGAAAGGTAAAATTTTCTAATTAGTACTTACAGTGTGTCATAATTCAGCTTGTGAGAGGAATATGAATGACATTTTACTGCCCAGTTGTCTTGATTTTTTCAGAAATTATTTTAATTGAATATAGCACTATTCTGGACAAACATGTGCAATTCCCAAGTCTTCTCCAGAGTAAGATTCTCAGTGGTAGAAACTTAAACTGGGTTACTTTCTTGTTTCTCATAATAATTTTTGATTCACGATCTATGTTATGTTTTTTAAAAGGCTATCAACAGTAAAGAATGGTATAGTGTGAAAATCACCTGTTATGCCTTCTGAAGGTCACCAGTGGTTGGTGCATACTCTGATTTAAAAAATTCATTTGCATACACACATATATTGAGAGTTTTATTTCTTCCTGTTGTTTTGATACTTAAAATGCTCATACTGAATCTTTTTGGATTGTTGTTTTTTTCACTTAATATTGTGGCTTGGAAATATTTCCAGGTCAGTGCTTAGAGGTTTGCCATTTATTTTTTAACCGCTACATAGTATTTGACAGTAAAAATGTGCATGAAATTATGTTTTGGAGAAGAGTGGCTATGAGAGAATAATATAAGAAGTATAGCAACATATGCAATTACGTGTTTTAAGCTACTTTCTAGTATAATCCCACATGCTAGATGATGTAAATTTTTGTTGTATCTTACCTGCTTCTGCTCATATCCACTCAATTTGGTATTGGCCCTTGCATATAAATTACAACTTATTTGTATTTATAGCTTGAAGGCCAATTAAAAAAGAATTATTTAAATGGATTAATATGGTTTACAAAATGTTAAGAGTCATGCAGCAAAGTTTCTCTGAAAGTTTCCTATTCATCACTTCAGAAGAATAACTGTTGCCATTAGCACTAACTGTATCCGTCAGAATTTTCCTCTGCATATATAAGCAAATACATTTATTAATATTCTTACCAACCTTATCCAAGAGGTGTTTCTTAACACACTGTTCTATGCTTTGCTTTTTTTTACTTAACAATATATTTCAAGTCCCTTTGCCCTATTGGTATGTAGAGATCATTTTTTTAACAGATGTGCAGATTTCCATCTTATCAGTGTACTATAATTTATTCCATAGCTTAGACATTTTGAGTTGTTTTTAGTCATTTGGTAGATTTTTATTTATTTGTTTTGCATATGAATATCTGATTGTTTCTGCACCAATTATTGAAGAGACTGTCCTTTTTTCATTGAGTTGCTCTTGCACCTTTATGAAAACTAAGTTGTCATGTGTTTGGGTCTTTTTCTAGTCTCTGTTCTATTCCCTTGATTGTGTTTGTCTGTCTTTACACTAGTACCATACTATCTTGATTACTTTTCAAATTAAATCTTGAATGAGACAGGATTATCTTCCAACTTTGTACTTCTTTTTTGAAGTTTTGGTTATTCTAGGCCTCTGCATTTTCATATGAATTTTAGAATAAGCTTGTCAGTATCTACAAAGTGCACGCTGGAATTTGGATTGGAATTGCTTTGAATATATGGGTCAATTTAGGGGGAAGAATTGATACCCTAACAATGTTGAGTTTTCCAGTTCATCAACCTGGTATTTCTCTCCTTTTATTTTAGAGGTCTTTAATTTCTCTCAGACATTTTTGTAGTTTTAAGGATCAGGTTTTACTCATCTGACTTTTTTCAGATTTATTTCATACTGTTTGATATAAATAGTATTTAAAAAAATTTCAGTTTCTAATTGTTGATAATGTATAGTAATACATTGATTTTTGTATATTAATTTTTTTCTTGCAGTCTTGCTAAACTCACTTATTCCTCTAATAGCTTTTTGTAGATTTCATCAGCTCTTCTTACATAGACAAGCATGTCATCTGTGAAAAAGGGGCAGTAGAGCCTCTTAATGTTGAATGGAAGTAGTGAGAGTGAACAGCCATATTTGTTCCTTTGCTTTGGAGCAGGAAAAGTTTGTTTTTAACCACTAAGGGTGATGTTACCTGTAGGACTTTAGCAGATGCCTTTTATACAAGATGAGTTTTTAAATTTGAAAGCTGTTGATTTTAGTATACTAATTTTGTACAGTTCTCACTGTATTTTGTTACTGTTTGTAATAACAGTTGATTCTCTTGGATTTTCTAAGTATTTAATCATATTAAGTATAAATAGACATAGTTTTCCTCTTTAGATTTTTCATACATTAATTTTTCTCTTATCTGATCCAGTTAGGCATGAGTACAGTATTAAATTCTAGTGATAGTTATAGGAATCCTTGTCTTCTTCTTGATTTGAATAGGAATGCTTCTAGTGATTCTCCAAAGTATAATATATTGCCTTTGAGTCTGGAATCTATTTTATCAGGTTAAACAAGTGTCTGGCTCTATATTTACTGAGTTGTTTTGTTTCTGATAAAGAATAGGTGTTCAGTGTTGTCAAATGGCTTTTTATGTACTATTGGTATAATACTGTTATCTTTTTCTGTTAGATTTGTTTATCTCATAAATTATATGAAAATATATCCTGATATGATAAGCCCTACTTAATCTTAATGTATTGTTGTTATTATTTTTAAAGACTTTATTATTATAATTTCTTTAGAGCAGTTTTAGGTTCACAACTTTTTTTTTTTTAGTTTCAGGTTTTTGTTTAAATCCCATTTAGTTAACATACAGTACAGTGTAATATTAGTTTCAGGTGTAGAATTTAGTGATTCATCACACATAACAACACCCAGTGCTCATCACAACAAGTGCCCTTAATACCCATCACCTATTTAACACATTCCCCTGCCCACCTACCCTCCAGCAACCCTCATTTTGTTCTCCATAGTTAAGAGGCTATTTTCTGATTTGCTTCCCTGCCCCCCATGTTCATTTGTTTCTTAAATTCCACATACAAGTGAAGTCATATGGTATTTGTCTTTCTCTGACTTAATTCGCTTAGCATGATACTCTCTAGTTCCATCCACGTCATTGCAAATGGCAAGATTTCATTCTTTTTAATGGCTGAATAATACTCCATTGTATATATATACTACATCTTCTTTATCCATTTGTTAGTCATTGGACAGCTGGGCTGTTTCCATAATTTGGCTATTGTTGATAATTCTGCTATAAACATTGGGGTGCATGTATCCCTTTAAATCAGTATTTTTGTATCCTTTGGGTAAATACCTAGTAGTGCAATAGCTGGATCCTAGGGTAGTTTTATTTTTAACGTTTTGAGGAACCTCCACACTGTTTTCCAGAGTGGCTGTACCAGTTTGCATTCCCACCAACAGTGCAAGAGGGTTCCCCTTTATCGGCATACTTGCCAACATTTGTTGTTTGCTGTGTTGTTAATTTTAGCCATTCTGACAGGTGTGATGTGGTGTCTCATTGTAATTTTGAATTGTATTTCTCTGATGATGAGTGATGTTGAGCATCTTTTCATGTGTCTGTTAGCCATCTGTATGTCTTCTTTGGAAAAACATCTAGTCATGTCTTCTGCCCATTTTTTAACTGGATTATTTGGTTTTTTGAGTTTAATAAGTTCTTTATATATTTTGGATACTGACCATTTATCAGATATGTCATTTACACATATCTTCTCCCATTCTGAAGGTTGCCTTTTAGTTTTGTTGATTGTTTCCTTTGCCATACAGAAGCTTTTTATCTTGATGAAGTCCCAATAATTCATTTTTGTTTTTGTTTCCCTTGCCTCAGGAGATGTATCTAGTAAGAAGTTGGTATGGCCTATGTCAGAGAGGTTACTGCCTGTGTTTTCTTTCAGGATTTTGATGGTTCCTGTTTCACGTTTATGTCTTTCATCCATTTTGAATTTATTTTAGTATATGGTGTAGGAAAGTCGTTCAGTTTCATTCTTCTGCATGTTGCCGTCCAGGTTCCCAACACCATTTGTTGAAGTGACTGTATTTTTTCCATTGGATAGTCTTTCCTGCTTTGTCAAAGATTAGTTGATCATGCAGTTGTGGGTCCATTTTTGGGTTTTCTGTTCTGTTCCATTGATCTATGTGTCTGTTTTTGTGCCATTACTGTACTGTCTTGATCACTACAACTTTGTATTATAACTTGAAGTCCAGAGTTGTGATGCCTCCAGCTTTGCTTTTCTTTTTCAAGATTACTTTGGCTATTTGGGGTCTTTTGTGGTTCCATACAAATTTTAGGATTGTTTGTTCTAGCTCTGTGGAAAATGCTAGTGGTATTTTGATAGGGCTTGCATGAAATGTATAGATTGCTTTGGGTAGTATAGACATTTTAACAATGTTTGTTCTTCCAATCCATGAGCATGGAATGTTTTCCCATTTCTTTATGTCATCTTCAGTTTCTTTCATAAGTGTTCTTCTATAGTTTTCAGAGTACAGGTATTTTACCTCTTTGGTTAGGTTTATTCATAGGTATCTTATGGTTTTTGGTGCAGTTGTAAATGGGATTGATTCCTTGACTTCTCTTTCTGCTGCTTCATTACTGGTATATAGAAATGCAACAGATTTCTATATGTTGATTTGTATCATAAGACTTTACTGAATTTGTTTATCAGATCTAACAGTTTTTTGGTGCAGTCTTTTGGGTTTTCTACATAGACTACTATGTCATCTGCAAATAGTGAAAATTGGACTTCTTCCTTGCTGATGTGGATGCCTTTGATTTCTTTTTGTTGTCTGATTGCTGAAGCTAGGACGTCCAGTACTGTGTTAAATAACAGTGGGGAGAGTGGACATCCCTGTCTTCTTCCTGACCTTAGAGGGTCTTTCCCCATTGAGGCTGATACTAGCTGTGGGCCTTCGTATATGGCCTTTATGATGTTGAGGTATGTTCCCTCTATCCCTACCTTGTTGAGGTTTTTATCAAAAAGTTTCCCAAACAAAAACTAAAGGAGTTTGTGACCACTAAACCAGCCCTGCAAGAAATATTAAAGGGCACCTTTTGAGTGGGAAAGAAAGACCAAAAGCAACAAAGACTAGAAAGGAACAGAGAAAATCTCCAGAAACAATGACAAAACAAGTAATGAAATGGCAT